TGAGTAGCCTTTGTATCCGTGCTCTCGTCTTGAACGGAAATGCTCGTTAACAAGTATCATCGTGCGTTGAATGGGCGGACCTCGCTCCGACAGCTGCTAAACGGTATTTATACTGCTTCATTCTTCTTCAGATTCATGTAATTCACATAATGGGTGACGAGAATCTATCCTGGAGCACGCCGCTCTATCGCGGATGCTGCGTGGACCGTGACAAAATCGATAAATTCATCCCGGCTCCAGCTGCTTCGCCGCCCCGCGAACCTTAAATCCCTACACAGAGCAGCGATCGCAGAAAGCAAAAAAGTAGTGAATATTAAATAGAAATTAATATATTAACTTTCTCACAATGCATTTTTAATAGATATTTTTAACTGTATCTTTATTAAAAAAAGTATTAATACTTTCTATTTAAATTTAATTAATTTAATCTTATATATATTCAAAAATTTAATTAAGTCAATGTTATTCAAAATCTTAAATAGCAGGAAAAAAGAATATTTATTTTCGTCACAATATTGAACGTTGTAGTGTTAATTTTAAATCGACTTTGTAGAAAACACAGCTTTGTGTCAACGACAAATATTTTTGATTCTTGATGATAAAACGGGCAATAAAATAATATTAATATGTATAAATAGTATTAATATGAATTAGTATTACGGTTGCCAGATATTTTAGATTATTTTGAATTCTTTCAGTATGATAAGGTAAATTAAATATAGATATAAAGTGTCAACGAGATGTATACAATCTAAAGAGGATATTCGTTATAATCTCTTTTAATTTTAAACAACTAATTCTTGGTTTTAAAAAGTAGAAAATTTTTTGGAATAACGCAAAAAAACAAGCATTATCACTCTTGTCAACTTTGTGTTACTTCACATATTTGTATTGAATTAAATTCTATCTTGTGATATAAAGTGTCTCAGATATCAAACAGAAGATCTGATATCACTAAGATAGGAGAGTTCATCATTCAAAACATCATGTTATTTCAATCAAAATCACACAAAAGTTTATCATACATATCTTATAATCAGATATCATTATAAATGAGAATTTTATCTTTTAATTCTGATTTCAATGTCTCTAGAGATACAAATTGTTATTAACATAATTTCCTTGTTACAATCTCTATTTTCTTTATTCATACTTTTGTGCATTTGCGGCTTTTATCCCACGTCATTGCAACATAATGATTTATGAGGGGTTCAAATACATAAAATCACACTAATGTATCAAGCAATCATCCTTAACTACCGTCAATAAAACTGATCATCAGAGTTGTAGAACAATTTAGCGAGTTAAGTTGTTTTTCTGCTCGGGTGTGGATATGTCAGTAAAATCCAAAAGCGCACAAAAATTTATACGTGTAATGTACACATATCTATATGTATTTTTTGTAAAGGGAATATACAGGATGTCCCCAAATTCGTGAATTAAAATTCACAGTAAGAATAAGTCCCAAAAATAAAAATTATTTGCCATTTTTCGAGCAGTAGTTCTTGAGATATAAAGATTTAAAATCATAAGTGAATTAAACGTTACGGTTAAATGGCTGCTTGTCTCGCCACGCGCGATAACTAAAGACTGTGGCACACAAAAAATGTAAGGCGTTTTAATGATACCTTTAAACTTTTTTTTTGAGAATTTTCTTGTGGTATTTTGATTCCTGAATTTTGGGACAGTCCGTATATTTAAATGAAATGTAGAAATTTGCACGTAGAAATACTTGTTTAAATATGAATGTAATATTGTCATGCAGGCGTTACTACGTGGAAGAGATGCTTAACCGGTTCGGTGCCGAGGGAACCTGAAGGGCCGGTACTTATGACCGAAATACCGGGCCCTCGATCGCGCAGCTTGCTACAAGAATTGAGTTCGATACAAGTACGTCAGACCCTCTTGATTCTTTGGGTGACATCATGGCACATTTTCTTTAATTTATTAATTTAGTCGCTTGCTATCCGCGACGATATTTTGAACGCTTCGCCTCGTACGAATTTCAATCTAATAGTTCGAGCTATGTAGTTGTACCGTTGTCATATAGAATTGTTATATGTAGACTTAAATGTACACATAAGATATGAGTAATAATGCCAAATCTTTTGTAAATATACCAGAGACGAAATGGGTTTACAATGTTGAAATCTGTGACTTCAGCAAGCGTCTTCCGTACAATTCTTCGCAGACTATGAAAAATCCGCCGGTAATTACATAATTGACGTTGACGGGAATGTGTTGCTGGACGTTTATATGCAAATCTCATCAATGCCTCTAGGGTATAATCATCCCGCGATGCTGGAGGCTCTCGCCGATCCCGTTAATCAAGTGAGTGATATAAAAGCACACCGTCGCGGAGTACCGTATTTTTTTTCATGTATGCAATTTGCGTGCTAACTTCCTCTACAAGATGTATCACTTATACTTTAAGTATATATACAGTATTGAGAAGAAATTCTAATAATCGGATATTCTTGATATATCTTCATATAAATTATTTTGCTTTACGAAGACGGTGTTCGAGTTGCATGAAAAATAGTTAACGATTATGACTCTTTTCAGAGAATTATAGCGAATAGACCTGCTTTAGCTGTCTTTCCAGGAAAAGACTGGCCTAATAGATTAAAGGATGTTCTGCTTAAGAAAGAGGTAACAGATATATGTTGAAACTATAATTCATTTTCTATATCGTCTTTTATCTTGGCACAATTGAAAGAAATTGTTATTTTGGACAGTTGGCACCACCGGGATTAACACACATTACGACAATGATGTGCGGTTCTTGTTCTAATGAGAATGCTTTTAAAAACATTTTTATCTGGTACGCTGAGAAACAAAGGCAAGGCAAACCGTTCACGAAGGAAGAGATAGAATCGTGTATGATGAACCAAATCCCTGGCTCACCGCGATACTCTATTATGTCCTTTAAAGGTCAGTCATTTGTCCGAGTAAAAACAAGTTTCATTCCAATTAGGAACCTTTATGAAACATTTAATATCGATAGGTAGCTTTCATGGAAGAACCTTAGGTTGTCTCTCAACGACTCACAGCAAGTATATTCATAAGATGGATATACCAGCTTTCGACTGGCCTATCGCCTCCTTTCCAGAGTACAAATATCCTTTAGAAGAAAACGTGCGAGAAAACAAGCAGGAAGATAAGCGTTGCCTCGCAGAGGTATATCTTCAAATATTTATTGTACATTGACACCAGAAGAACCAATATTTCTCACTCATTAAAAGGATCAAGCACAAACAAATTAATTATAGAAAATTAAGAAAGTGATGGAAAACTAAATGTTTCATTATCATAAAAAACATAATTACTGAAAAGTCAAGACATCTTAGGATCCTATCTTTTACACAAAAAATATAATATTAATTTAAAAAATAGAAATGGTCAATAATTATTCGGTACTTCTAGTGTTAAATATCTCTTTGAATGTTTCGCACGAGAAGATTAAAAAATTTTGATATTTTAGGTCGAGGAATTATTTGAGAAGTACAAAAACGAAAAGAAAGTACCAGTAGCCGGCGTGATAATTGAACCTATTCAAGCGGAAGGCGGCGACAATCACGCATCCCCAGAATTCTTTCAGGAACTTCAACGCGTGACACGAAAGGTAAGGCATAGCTTGCAAGGCAATTATCTTACCGTACGTTATCAAAAGATATTACAATCTCGCGTTAAAATATTTCAGTACGGAGCCGCGTTACTTATCGACGAAGTGCAAACCGGTGGCGGACCAACGGGAAAAATGTGGTGCCACGAGCACTTCAATTTAGATACTCCACCCGACGTAATGACTTTCAGCAAGAAAATGCAATTAGGCGGTTATTATCACTCGGAGGATCTAAAGTAAATATTTTTTTTTCAATGATAAAATAATATAAAATCATGTTTTAAGTATTAACGTGTAATTATCTGCCACGCAGACCGAAACTGTCATATCGTGTGTTCAATACTTGGATGGGCGATCCCAGCAAAGTGATCCTGCTCGAAACGATTATAAAAACGATTAAGAAGGAGAATCTTTTGGATAGAGTTACGCGCGTGGGCAATTATCTGTTAAAACATTTGATGGATATGCAAAAGGAACATTCCAACGTAATCAGTACAGTGCGCGGACGTGGGACTTTCATAGCGTTTAACTGTCCCTCGCCTGAAGCGCGAGATAGCATCATCAAGAAACTTGCAACGAAAGGTAAGGTGATGTTGCAACGTAAAATGTGAGTGCTAAGAATATCTTCCATGTTTTCGTATTTTCCTCTGTTCTTGTTAGGTATTCAGACAGGTGGATGCGGCAGCCAGGCCGTGCGGCTGAGGCCTGCGTTGACCTTCACAGAGCATCATGCCGATATATTTCTGGATGCGCTTCGCTCTGTTTTAAAAAAATAAAAATCATCTTGATAATATCTTGTGTCTTCCAAATCAGATGTCTTCCATATTGGAGTACTCGTGGAGATATATCGTGTGATTTATGAAGTCTATAAATAATCATTATTTTTCTATGGCAGTTACATTATGAGGATACATTATGAAGAGTTTATGATAAGTGGTGAATTAATGACAATGCAGTATGATAAACTAAACGATGTAATAGACAATACTTGATTGTCTCGTAAGTTGAAAGTATATATGAATGGTTCGATACGGACTAAAAAATATTCAAAAAAAGTTATGACAAAAGTTATACAAATGTATTCTTCAACAAATTTAGAACAATAATGTTTTTATTGAGTAGAAATTCTCTCTACATCGATTATTTATACATTTCATATATTGAGCAGCATTTGCTATATTTGAAAAAATATAGTATAAAATGATGCTTAACAATCAATTGTATATTGTATACTAACTTGTAATATACAATACACAACTATGCGTAATATATAATACTTGTATATTGTATGATGTATATTAACTAATAATATTGTATATTAACTTTTAAAGTTTAATCATAATTATTAATCATTAATTATGATTTATATTCTGTTTTATCTTTCTTTTATTATCTTTTTATATTTTTGCTATTATTTGTTAATTTTGGCTTCATTGACATAATCAGACAAATTATTGCACAATTACAAAATGTCTTCCAAAACAACTGCCAATAAAAAACGTTTAAGCTAGATCCTTATTGTTATCAAGTCTCAATGTCACTCATCTCGACATTTTCTTCAGTATTTCAGCAAAATGTTCATATTCTCGATGATGACTTTTCTGTGTCATATAAGCCTTTGTCCTCATCTGAAAAGGATATCCGAAATAAAAATTTTAAAAGCAAAACAATGTATAAAAAAATCTAAATCTTAATTATTCCAAATACGTATTTACCGTCACTTTAGAATCCACCGAACCGTGTCGTTGTGATAAGTGCCACAAATTTACAGCCATGTTTGCTAATGCAGTGTCTCGTAAATCTGCACGAATAATAAAACAATTAAACAGCTCGAGTGCCAGAGCTGATTGTTTATCGAATTGCTCGGTGGATCCAAGATACTTGAGATGGCCTAAGATTTCCTCAACGATTTTTGAACATATTTTATTGACTTCACCGATAAATTTCTGATCCGATCCGTACAATTTATCATTTGAGTCAACCTGAAATGCCATTATGTGACATAAATTTTAGAGATTATAATTAATTTCTCTAATTTTTAAGTATCGGAAATATGACAGCTATTTATTTGCCCCTTCAAATGTACGCAAAAGGATGAAATACCTTATCGATATGGTACGGATAATTTTCTTGCGCTACCGTTGAAAGAAGATCGAGTACACGTAAATACAAATATGGTTTGGTTGAGGTATTCTCCTCAAAGCAACGTTGAACTGCATTGAGCAAGCCTCTCATCAAATACAGGACGCCATGCTCTGGGCTATCCTAATACAGAACAATCTTAAAATCATAAAATTAAAAACATAGCGTATATCAATATACTTACGGGAACTACTAACAATGTTGACAAGAAATTCGATAAGTATGAGAGCAAATATGGCTGCGAGCTTTTCTGTCTTCCATCAATATCGATGGTTTTCGGCATTTCCGGAACTAAACTCAAAGCAGCCTTAAAGCAAGCATCAGCTGAAATATAACAATTTACGCATATAAAGTAACGAAAAAAATAAAAAATACGTTAATGTTAAAATAAAAATTAATTCGATTCGCACCTTGGCCTAGACATTGATTTAAAAGGGCAACCTGTCCAGACAGTAGATATAATTGAAGGCGTGTATGGACTAGAGTTAACGATGGTATAGTGATGAAACAGAATGCAGCACAAGCACGTACAAACGCTGACGTTCTTCTCGTGTGATGACCACGTACTATCTTTCTAGTATCAACTGATAATCTATTCACGCACTGAGCGCAAATAAAAAGATACTTTATTGCCGTTAAATCTTTTTTCTTTATATATCAACAATGTAAAAAAAAGAATTATTTATGTATTATTAAATAGAACATATATATATCACATACTTGTACAAGTTGTATATGAACGCTATCAAGATTAGGAAATGCTGCCCTGGCCTCTACGTAAAAACTAAGCTGCTTCTCAAAATCGCGACCATAATCTACTCGTTGCACTAATCCGCATATTAGTTGTCCGATCTGTCGTTTCTCATCTTCGACGGTCAGAGCACTGCAATGATTTGTTTGATTTTAAAAATCAGGATAAACTTTAATCGTGAAATTAAATTGACGTACCTAACGGAATCGTGCATTATTCTCGCAATAAACATCAGAGCGTTTATAATAATAGGATCCGTAATAGGTCCGTTTTGTACACTCAATCCTTCTATGACAGTTTTACAAACTTCAACCTTAACACTTTCCTTGTGAAATAAGTCAATTAGAGGTAAAAAATTGTCCTACAAAACGTTAAATAATTTATAACAGATCAAACGTCTTAAAATTACGTGAATAAATATGAATAGTACGTGCATTTATAATAGCGCGGATAGTTACCATAGCAAGCAGTGATTCAAAATCTTGTGTGTGGGCAACTATCTTCTCAATAATATTCTGCAATTGTGGATAATAATTTTCGAAAGCTTTCTTCGGTCGTAGCCGATCTATTATTTTGCCGAAAAATAAATTTAATTCAATTACCTATAAACATATATGTATGATAATAATTTAATTTCACATAAAGTATAATTAAATATTATTTGTGCAAATATAACTTACAGAAAAGTGTATAACAGTGAACTGAATCCAAATCTCGACGCAATGCATGAATTTGTTGGGATCTGTGAGGTCCGTTATATACTTCCATATCACATTAAGCACCGATTGACAGTCTTCTTTCGGCAGAGATTCTCGTACAAGGCATTCTCCCAAACTCCGATATAAGAGATATTGAGGATACCCTATTACATCAAAAAAAGGAAACATAACTTAAAAGTGTTACTATACCGAGGATATATATATTCTCGACTTTATTTTTTTTAATCTCAGTACCATCGTCTTCACTCGCTACTATTAAATTCACAAAATCCATAGCACGTGCAGCAATATAAGTAGATTTAAATGCAGTCAACACTGTATTTAATAATAACGATCTGAAAACATATACACGTCGATTGGATAAAAATTAAAAATTAAAGATAAATTAAAAATACACGTTTAAAATATATTTACCCATTCTCTTGCTTTTTACAACGAGATAAAACCTCTTCAAGAAGGCTCTCGGGCGATGTCGCCACTAAAACCTGTACGATCCAATCCAAAGCTGGCGAATATAAATTAAGATACGAATGAAGGGTAACATTTTGCTTCACTATTTCGTTTCTCACAGCAGTCCCAAATAGTTGCTGGTATGTAAAAAGAAAGTCATACAGGTTTTCCCTCACGAATTCGAAGTCTGATGTTTTGTTCAACGCCAATCCCACACGACATAAATAGCATCTCGCGTAAACCGCTATCAATGGATTTCCGATACCTCTTATCATACGAGTTATACGTAACAGAGCAGTATTAAATTCACTAAAATGAAAGTATTACTTTAATATTTCAATCATCATATTATTACAACATTACGAATATCTATGTAGTGATGAAAGTCGTACCTGGTCGTTAGAAAACTATAAGATTTTATTATCGCCATTTCTACATAAAGACGCGGTACTAGTTCCCGTATTGAAGCTATCTTGTAAAACCAATTCCGACACGTCTCCTTCGCGTTCTCAGGAACCATGTCGGGTGTAAAATTATCAGGCAAGCTCGTGGGTACTTTACTTCCTGGTCTAAGAAAAAAGTATTAATATCAATAACTATAAATAACGTTTGTAACTGCTCAATAAAAAAAAAACATAAAATACATGCAATTAAAAAATAAGTTTTCTTATGTAATAATTACTTGTAATACTCAGCCTTCATTTTCAATCTCTCATACACAAGTTTTCCAAAGATGTCCAAAATATCTGTGATGAGAACAAACTTGCTCGGATAAAAAGCCATTACGGACGTATCTACTAACAATTTGGCACACTAAAATAATTTAACATTAATTCCTAAATCGTAAGTTTTTTTGTTCTTTCATAAAGCTAATAAACGTATCAAAACCTGTATTGCAATTTTGAGCGCCTTTACTCTTTGGTCGGAATGCCACGCTTGTACTAATTCGTTGTTTAATTGTTCGATTCGTGCAGTGTATTGTTGTTGCGACAAGTCCAACATTTGCCGAACAGAACCTTCCTCAAAATCGTCTAATTGTTCAAGCCGCGTTTTTACCTTGTCGACCATTGGCCCACTCGGCTGAACTTTCACTACAACTGTGACAAAGCAACATTGTAGCAATTTAAAAAGTTATCAATCAATAAACAATTTAAAATAAATGATACTGTATTTTAATATTCCTTCACAAATTAAATTAATTAACAATCTTTTTAAAAAGGTACCTTTTTCACCACCTGGTAAGAAACTGGTGACAATCGATAATTTTTCAGAGGTGGTATATTTACTCAGTATAGCGGAACGTCTAACAGACCATGGTTCCACTAATTCTTCTGCTGTGTCCTTTGATTTTTTACCCGCAGGTGCAACATTAGAATAATCCCACTATGACACAGATAATATAAACTTAAGTTAAAAAAAAATAATTAGAACATAATTAAATCTAAATAAATATATTACTTCGTCTGCAGCCATTTTAGAGAGAGGATCCAATTCTTCTCGAGCAAATTGTGTAAGAGGATCAGAACCGTCTAGAGAAGGATGACTCAACAATGGATCACTCAATGGATTTGCAGGAATCGGTGCGTGTGTTGGTGTAGGTGTTCCAGTGGAGGAACTGGTACTTGTACTCCGCAACGCACTTCGTCTAGCTGCGCTACGTCCATCGATTAGCTATACAAGAGTAAAAAATCTTTTATCAAAATTTATTATTCATACCAGATAGAATACGAGATAGAAATTGAAACATTAGATCTGTTCGTGTTGCTTGAAATCTCCAAAAATGTTTGTACTTAAAATGAGATAAATACATATTCCGACATTAAAAAGAGAAAAAGCGAAGTAATTGAGTATAAAAAGTACAAACAACGCGAATAGATTTATTTATAAAACGGTACTCCAGTAACAGCTATTTCTTACAGTGATTACAACTGGTTTCAAAGGATGCTCCGTAGCTTCTTCTAGGCATGCAAACTTTACAGTCCCATATTCCATGGGTTTTGATATCCTGCAAAAAAATTTCTTTTTTGTATAATAGTTCATTCTCTTATGTTAGAAGAAAATCTTATTATTGCAATAATAGTATCATCTGGAAAACAAACCAACAGTAACATTATATCAATGTTGAAGGCTGCTTTTCTTTTAGGAGACACAATCAACACATATATCGTTTCATCGCTATTATTCATTGAATGCCAAAAAGAATAGAATGATGTTTGTGTCGATTGTGTTACTAAAGAGAAAGTAATCAAAAGGTATATTTTCAGAAATGGTGACAGAATTAGTATACACTTTTGGAGCTTGAAGTGAGATAGATATATATTTGACAAAAGCGAGAAAGATAGTTCTAGTATAGAAATAAAAAGCAAATCTATAATATCCTGTTCTCTAAAATTTTCAGGATGACTCTTGTATTCTGAATAATAAAATCTCATTCTTAAAGACTAAAAATTGAGGTATTTCTTAAGACAGGTTCAATTTTCACTTTTTAGAGTGAGACTCCACTCCAAAGAATTTAGATAGTGCTCAACAATGTAATTATTATGTACAACATGTATCATGTTACAATTATATTATTGAAGAATCATAATATTGATGTAATATTACTGTTTGTGTTCTGCAGGCAGAAATAACAGACACTTGAACGAAAATTCTCTCACCATTCTATCTCCGTCATATTTTGCACTCTGAGATACTTTTCTCAAGCCAAAAATAGAATCACACCGTGTAATCCGGTATCACGCCGATATTGTGCAGTTCATCATGCGGCTCCAGCATCTGACGTTAGAAAGCCGACACCCGACCCGACACGGAGTCCAATCAAACGTCAACTAATCCTCGTGCAAAGTCGGGCAAAGTACGGCGTGGTGGAAGCACCGACCGAGCCAAGTGCCTCATAGATATGGGACGAATTCGTCCATCATGCAGCACGCTTATTGGTCGCCCAATTGAAGGCTCCAGAAAGCTCCTATATAGGAGTCCTATATAGAATATATAATCTATATATGTTATTAATATAGATTAACTTTAATCTTAGTTTAACTTAGGCCCGGTTGTTCCACCTTTTGGTAAATTTTACCTATTGGATAAGAAGCACATGCGTGGATTGCTAGATTTATCTAACAGATAAAATTTAAAAAAAAAAGGTGGAACAACCGGCCCTTATTTTTTATCTTTTTCCAGTTTGAAGAATTAAGTAATTATCTACAAGATTAAAGTTAATCTACACTGATAGAAATAAAGTAAAGATTTTTCCAAATCTCCTGATCGCCTCGAAAAACCATTCATTTCCGTTAACGCGGCTTCGGCCTCACGAATCTCCGATCGACGGGCTCGCCTCGCAGCGAATTCTGAAGCATTTTGGAGCAACTCCGAGCTCGTGGAATTCAGTGGAGTTGCTCAATGAGAGTCGAAGATTTCCAATGAACCGCCAATTCTGCTTATTTGAGTGCCGATCGCGACGCAGGGCAGCACCGACAACGTTCCAAGAAATCCGATCACGGGTGTGCTGTTCTCCAAATCGCCACTCCAGTCCTCGCAGCACACCACAATTCGCACGCTGCACGCGAGTTACGGGAATTTCTGCGGAAATTCGCGACGTATCCGGGCCATGGACGAAGTTCTCGAAAGCTGGGAGCAGATTGAGGAGTCCGGAGTAAGACACATCTCAGAATTTCGTTTTCCAAATCAGAGTGTAAGACCGAACGGTCTCGCGTTAACCTATAACCTCCTTCGAGCTCCGGAGTTTCCGTCGACGACCAGAAGACTTTCCGCGGTTTGTCGTCTCGCGTTTTCTCGCTTTGGAGCATCCCGACTGTCGCGTTTGTATTCTTCGTTGTTTGTACATCACGATCCTTAATTGATAGATTGATTCACGCGATTTAATCGTAGTACTTTATGCTGCCATAAGGACACGTTTTTTGTACAAAATTCTTTTCCTAAAATTTCTTTTCACTCCCGGTCGATCTTGTTTATGGAAATTATTTATCGTTATATGATATATAGAAGAGGGATGAAAATTCTGATGGCTTTTAGGCACTCGACAAAAGACTGGAAGCTCTTCGGTTGAACACAGTAGAGGAAGAAATAGAATCTTCTAGGTAGGTTTAGGTGAACGTTTAATTCTTGGACTTGTTTCTCTTTCATGCTTTTAAGTCATTTAAATCTTTCTGAAGAAAATATTTCTGTTATTTATATATAATATACAATGTTTTGGATGTAATCAACAATATTTTGGATATAGAACCAGTAACGATGCCAACACAAGGATGATTATATTAGGGGAAGATGGCCTTAGATCTCAATACGTACCTCCAAAACCTATGGTAAAGATATTAAAGAGACCTACTGCAGATTCGCGGGGTAGCGGTGACGGTCCACTGAACGATGATAAACCTAAGCAACCTATTAAGTCTCTCAAGCAGGTATGTAATTTAGGATGCTTACCAGCAAGAGATAAATGGTGAATTCGTTTACTTAATTACACTAGAGGTGCTTTAGTAAGAGACACAATAATACAGTATAATACTGTGAATTATTTCATCTTTGTTTAATATTTGCAAACAAGCAATGTTTTCCATTCAGTGACATAAACATCATCTTTTTCGACATTCAGAAAGTAACAAAGATAGAACGACTTTCCATTTGTCACCAAATGGAAAGCATCCAAGGATGTGTAATAATTTATTGTGTTACACTGTGTCATCTGTGTCTCTTGCTGAAAAACATCATCTATTAGTACACATTAAAGACTGCTCTATATAATATAAATGCATAAATCTAAGTGGAATAATATAATTAAATAAATAATATTCGTAAATCCAAGTGGAATAATATAATTAATTTTGACAATAAAATAATACATGTGCCCTCTGTTAAATAACGCAATGATATCATTATTGAGTATTTAATTGTTTAAAATATTTATATACATAAATGCTTTTACACTTAACTTGGTTAATTTAATGTATAGCAGCTTTTAATATGTATTAATGTAATGCAAGTGAATTTGCTAAAGACACAGTGTAACACAGTGTATTAGAGACTCTATAACAGACTCTCTAGCCACAAATTTTTTATTGGCTCATTATTTTTATTAACTTTAGTAAGTTAGAAGTAAAATAATATTTAGAATAAAATAGCATGTATAAAAGAAGATAATATATATCCTTCTTTCTTGCTTTTTGTTTTGATAAAATTGCTTGTGGCCAGACTGTTATGGAATCTCTACAGTGAATCATTTCATCTTTATTTAACGTTGGCAAACAATTAAGATATAATGATTCTGTGTTATGCCGTATCATTAGTGTCTCTTACTAGAAAATCCTGAATTTGTCCATAAAACCTTGTACTGTTGAACGTATGAGAACGTATTGAATTGTCTTAGCGGGAGCAAGAATATGCAGAAGCACGTAGGAGGATCTTGGGGGAAGAGAAGAGTCCAGAAGAGAAGACGATGCAGGAGATCAACAAAATTCAGGCAAAATCGAGCACGCCGAATGGCAACAATTTTCCTAGCAACGTCGTTCGTATGCCTGCCGGCCCGGACGGTACCCGGGGCTTCAACGTACGTAGGTAGCGCGTCTTCCGACTGACTCTTTCCACACATCTTCTTCCTCTCCTTCCTATTCGCTGCCATGGGGAAGGAGAACGGCTATGAGGCCAATGACATAGAATAACTTCGCGCTCCCAACTAGAGCGGACAAGATATTCTCAGAGTTGCGTCCTGCAAATTGTCATCGTGTATAGACGCAGCCTAGCAAGGATCGAGAGAAAATGGACTTATTCGAGTGAAAACGAAATGCCGATGTCATGCATTCTGTTGGTGCTCTCTTACGTGACAGAACGAAAAATAGAAAAAAAATAGAAAAATAATTATATTTATGTTTATATATGTATATATATTTGTATGTATGTACATGCACGGTATAATTATTTTTCTATATATTTTTTTCTATATATTTATAAACGAAATTGCAATTCGGATATAATGGGACGGAGGCGTGGATTTGTTACAAAGAAAATGAATTGCTTCAGTTTGTAAACTTGTATAATAACTGAAAGTATCTAACGTGGATTGTGTAATAAGTATCTTTGGACTGTGTAATAAAAGAACTTGTATATATACACATTATTATTATATACACATGTACAAGTAACAATTGTATGCGATATGTGAAACATTTTGTTATTAAATCAAAGATACTTTTAAACAGAGATACCTTTCATTGACTTCAATTTTAATAATTATAATAAATGTAAATGTGATATAGATGTAAAAGAGGGAAACGCTATTTTACAATTTTTTTATGTTGAATTGTTTAGAGAAGCGCAAATATATGTATAATTTATTGAATTGTTTGTACTGATAAGTTTATAAAAAACATATTTCAATTACCCAAATTCTTGTGCCGTGAGGCACTCATTGTTTAAATTTCTTTGAACGATTACAACACCGTGGTGCCTTCTTGAACCTTCTTAAGTAGTTATTAAGCATTATTGAGTCATAACTCACGAATGTCTAGGCATGGATTGACGTGTGGATGTAATTATATATCTTTAAATGTAAAGAACTTCCCAACTCCGAATTATATTAAAAATAAATTTATGTTATAAGATAGCAGCCGTTCATGATAACTGATGATAATATTCTACGCGTGCGTATATATCTGCATGTGTGTGCGCAGCACGCTCAGTCGACACATGTGCACATGCGTCATGGCGCATGTCAAATCGCATGTCTGCCGCTATCAGCTCACTTGGCTCGACAGATATTTCTCGCGGTTTTGAAATGATGCTCGCGAGTTGCCCGTGGAAATAGGTATCCCAGGCCAGAAGTGCCGCGTCGTTGTCACCGCCGGACCCATAAGGATGGCGGAATCGAGCGGCCCGATTCTTCACGTCATCGTCGTCGGGTTTCACCACAAGAAAGGCTGCCAGGTAGAATGACAGGCCAGATTAACCTGTCTCCTCGTTGCATCGACTCTCCGCGCGTTTTCAATCACGTCCTAACGTAATGTCACCTTTTAGGTCGAATACTCGTTTCCACCTTTGGTACCTGGTGCGCCTAATGAATGCCCGTTGGGATGGAAGTATCTGCCCACTCTCGCTCTGCCCGACGGTTCTCACAACTACGACGAGGACACGGTCTATTTTCACTTACCTAGTCTGAACGATCCGAAACGAACGATATATGGCATTTCATGTTTCCGCCAAATACCTGTGGAGGTATATAAAAGTATTTTTTTGATGTTTCAATACCTAGACAGTTTTAATACTTGACATCCTATGGACATCCCGTGAACGCCCCTATAGGACGTAGAGACGTCTTCTGGATGTGTTTAGTTTAAGATATTCCTACAAGATCATATACAAGTTTTAACTCTGAATAAATGTAAAGTAAAACGTTACTGTGCTTGCAGAAACTAAAGAATCGTACGTCCGATATAACGAGAGGCACTGTTCAAAAGTCGGTTTGCGTGCTGAGTACTTTGCCTCTGTATGGACACATTCAAGTAAAAATGGCCCTGATAACGCATGCATATTTCGAAGAAGGGGATTTTAGTAAAGTGTCCTTACTGGAGGATACCTATCATCATCTTAATTCATGTATGAGTGGCGAAAGTCAGATACCGCCGCAAATCTTTGTTGGTAATTGTCCATCAATGCATTCCTGTG